GTGTTAAATATTTAGTTTATAAACTATGACATTTATAAATGTATGAATCATATGGTGAAAAACTGACTTTGAAAAGTAAATCTGTTCTTTTTTTATATGAAAGACTAAATAAAACAAAAATATTGGTGGTAATTTTTGACTGTGTAACTTTACAAACGGTACCCCCATACTAAAGCCCTGCATCTTCACTGGAATTGGAAAGTAAAATGTTCATTTAATAAGTGATCGGCCTCGTCTGTCTGCTGCTCCAAACTGAACGATGCCTTTCAGGAATTAAAGAACCCGTCTGAACAAATCACTGCTACCAGACTCAAATCTATTGAGTTTTCTTTCCCACAACCTGACAGAGATGCTGAGACGTTTGATAACAGAGAGGGAGGAGCTGCTGGAGGAGCTGGAGACACAGAAGGAGACACTCAGGGTGAGCAGTGTTGTATAAAGTACCTCAAAGTGACACTTGAGTAAAAGTACAAGTATCTTATCATAAAAATACTTTGGTAAAAGTTAATCTTCTCTAAAAAATTACTTGAGGAAAAGTTTTAAAGTACCCGATATTTTTTGTACTTAAGTATCAAAAGTAAATTTCAAGCTACTTAAGTATTAAAAGTAAAAGTACTGAGTAAAAGTGAGCGTTTAGATTTTCCAAAATGACATTTATTGGGAGGTGAATTCTCCAAAAAACATATTTTCTAACAGCGTGCAGCTGTGATGGGTTGTGTACAAGCTAATAGTGTGTCAGAATGATATATATTTATACTTCTCATCCAAACACAATCAAAATTCACTCGATCCAGGAGACACAGTTTATTAGGATAGTTTTTATTTTTAAGCAATAACAACTCTGAATAAAATAGGAGTAACGACTTTCTACTTCTTAAAAACGTAGTGAGTAGAAAGTACAGATAATTGTGTAAAAATGTAATGAGTAAAAGTAAAAAGTAAAAAGTACGCTGAAAAATAATCACTCAAGTAAAGTACAGATGACCAAAATCTCTACTTAAGTCCAGAGTAACAAAGTATTTGTACTTATTTACTTTACAACTCTGAGGGTGAGCTGCCAGTTTGTGTTTTTATTACTAAACTTTGCACAAAAAATAAGGAAATTAGTGTTTGATGGATTATTTCTTGTGTATGCTTCTGGACAATAAACCTTATATTGTTGGAAAGCCTGTTAGTTTCCTCTTTAAATGGTGCCACATTTGTAAGGAACATGCATTTGTGGGATGAGCAGTAGAGCAGGTCAAACATGGTTGAAGAAAGAAATCATCCACCAAACAAATGTTCTTACTTTTTGTGCTAATAAGCATGAATGTTAAATTAACTTAAAGCAGCTTCAGGATAAACTGAGATCAGAGGCGATGCTTTGTTTTCACATTCCTGTTTTCATCCCCAGGCAGAGCGGCTGGAGTGGCATCAGTTCCAGAGCGACCTGCAGATTGCCGTTTCTGTGGCGGACCGGCTGCGGGTGGAGTCGGAGCACGCGCTCGCCTCGCTGCAGGAGAACCACCGAGCCGTGGAGGAGAAGCTGGCTCAGGCCCTCCGCAGACAGCAGGAGACGGAGCGAGAGCTGGAAATCCTGAGAGACGAGCACAGAGACGTCCGCTCCAAACTCAACGAGCTGATGGCGCAGCTGCAGCAGAAACGAGCAGAGCTGGCTCAGCTGAGGAAGACCTGCAGGCTGAAGGACGGCCACGAGGACGAAGAAGAGCCTGTGGAGAGTCAGCAGGAGGAGGGAAGGCACAAAGGTCCAGAAAAACCCGAAACTAATGAGACAAGTGAGGAGGAAACAAGAAATGGAACTCCTGATCCTGAGAAGTCAAACGGATCAGAGAACCTCCAGCTGACAGGAAGAGGTGTGGCTGAGGGATACATCCGCACTTTGGCTGCTCTGGAGAAAAACAAAGAAGAAGAACGTGGACCGAGAGATGCAAGGAGGGTAGTGATGCTGTCTGAAAGGTCTTGGTGAGTCTACAGGAACATTCTGATCAGCCTGCACTGAAATATTATAATTATAATAATTTGATGTTTCATTACGTTGCTTATGTTTTATTCTGTTTCATTTTATCTTTCCACATTTTTACATTGTTAATGATTGTAAAGCACCTTGTGAATATATTTCTGTGCAGGGGCGTCACTAGGTTTTAAGGACAAGGCAGGCTTAGACCCCAGGAAATGCACAGAATTTTTGTATATTATATATTTGTATTGTATGTGTGTGTATATGTATATGTATGTTTATGTACAGCAGGTAAAATAAGTATTAAACACGTCAACATTTTTCTCAGTAAATATATTACTAGAGGTGCTAATGACATGAAATTTTCACCAGATGTTGGTAACAACCCAAGTGATCCATACATACAAAGAAATCAAACCATATATGTCCAGAAATGAACTTACTGAAATTTATCTAATACTTTGTACAAAAGCCTTTGTTGTCAATGAC